GAAGAATTGTTACAGGAATTGGGTATGTTTAGATTAATCAAAAGAAGGACTAGGGGTGACATTATAGCAGTGTTCCAATGTTTGAGGGGCTGCCACAAAGAAGGAGGGTCAACCTATTCTCCAAAGCCTCCAAAGGCTGGGACCAGAAGCAATGGATGAAAACTATTCAAGGAGAGAACCAACATAGAACTAAGGAGAACTATCCTGACAGAACAATTAATCAGTGGAACAACTTGCCTCCAGAAGTTGTAGATGCTTCAACACTGGAGGTTTTTCAGAAGAGATTGGACAATTATTTCTCTAAAATGGTATACAGTAGGATTTCCTGCTTAAGCAGGGGGTTGGACTAGAAAACCTCCAATGTCCCTTCCAACTCTGTTATTCTATTATTCTGTTAAAGTAGCAATGAAGATTCCTCAGTAATCAAGATTGTCTGAAATGAAAATACTGCCACACACAAATATCAGCCTTGCTTGAAGTTAAGTACCCTTTGTCAATGAAGCATTTCACATTTCCTTGAGAACTTCATGTGTAGCTTCAGATACTACCACTTTCATAGCTGCTTCTCGCTTATTTATTTGCACATTTAGAGCAGAAATTCTTTTATCACATTTTAATAGTTTTATCCTGCTGGTGAACTTGCAAAAATATGTCTAGAGAGCAAAAAAGATTATTAATTAAAGGTGCCTATTAAATTATAATGTTTTGTAGCTATTGCTGCTTTGCCTTTTTATTTTTCAAAATGGAAATTAACATTGTATTTCAAATGTCAAAAATCAATGCATGTAATACCTGGTTATTCATGAAACAACTAGAAGAAATATCTTAAAGGAAAGGTATCCTTCTTACTGACCCCCAAAAAATAAGTCAAACAAAATAGGACATTTTTGCTAGATATTTGAAATTTTCTTTTAACATAACAAGATTTAGGATCAAAATGGGTACTTTAAATGTTTACAGAGATATTACAAATCCCACTTCCTGATGTCAATTTTTGTTATGGATGTGTTTATGCGTATATATGTGTTTACCAGAATCCTATAAAATTATACAGAGGCTTGAAAAAGTGACAAAGCTAGCAGAGATTAGAAAATTGACCGTTTTCATTAGAAAAAAGAATACACCCATTTCTGTTTCTTCTTGGAAACTGCTTCTAAACTTCGTTCTTGAGACAGAAAAAAAATGAACTTTTGACTTTCAGTTTTGCTAATTCATCTAGTTTGTTATTATAGAAATGGTTAGTACTTGTTAAGTTCATAACGTAAAAAGTTGAAACTGTAATTCTATTTTGTACTTTATTGTGCTAAACAAAGTTGAAAGTCAATGCTTCCCCCCCCTCTTTGCTCTACACTTCTATTTCCCCTTTCATTCCTTTCCCTATAATTTTCCTATTATCTTTATTTTCATTTGAAAAAAAAAGTATATAAAGAAACGGAAATACCCATGCAGGGATCACAACAGAATAAATTCCAATCTGTTTGCATTGACAACCAACCAACTAATCAAAAGACTCTTCTCTTCCATAATTATTAGCTGTTTTTCAACTAAGATTTGGTGCATGTTGATTCCAGGCTTTTTCTTTCATGATTGAATGCTTTTTTTCCTGTTTTTATGTCAAATTTTAAATTTTATTTGCTTTTATTTATTTATTTATTTATTTATTTATTTTCTTAAATTTATATGCCGCCCTTCTCCCCATGGGACTCAGGGCGGCTCACAGCATATTAAAACATTGTACAAAAAGAAATTTTCCCCTGCTAAAAACCAATTAAAATCCAAATATTAGTAGCTGTGGCTCTTTAAAATTGTTTAAAAATTGTCCCTATTTAAAACTCA